ACAGGGGGGGGGGGGGGGAGCTATAAAAATAAGAAAAACTCTCAGCAATCTGAAATAGGAGGATTTATTTCTTAAATGAGTCTCTCATGAAGCAAGGACATTTTGATGAGACAATTTTCTTGTCTCCTAAAGGCAGAGTAGACAACTGGGCCTGACGGTGATTTCAGACTTCTACCAAAATAGATATGTGTTAGGTCTGTAAAGCCTATGGCTGTGAGGAGCCTGTGAGGCACGGTGGCATGAGCATGGCCATATATAGCATACATGGGCGCATTTGTATGAGCTGCATCTCTGCCTGAGGTGTCTGAACACAGCTCTGACACAATATACCATGCTGTGGCTCTGTTTCCCTGGTGAACTGTAATCACTGTTGGGCTGTGACTTGAAGGAGCTGGGGGGGGATCTTCCCTGTCTGCCATGCATGTGTTGGCTCCCAGCCAGGGTACCCCAATTCACTTCTGAGTCACAGTGGGATTTCTGTATTCACCCAGATTATCATCTTGTACTTTGGTGAACCTCGAGTGTCTTGCATGGTGTGAGGCTGCTTCACATGGACACGGGAACACAACAAGGCTGTCACCCCAAAGTTTCTACTCTTTGGGGATGAAGGGTGCTATCCCCTCTGCTCTCCAGTCTTCTGTGAGACTACTGTAAGGATGGGCCTGCCAAGGAATATAAAAAGTTGAGGTTTTTACATGCATATTAGGAAAAGTGTCCTTTAGTCTCTTGGCTGTGGATAGTTTTTCCCTGCTCCAACTGTCTGTGTGCCATTGGCATAAAAAGCAGTTTCAGAAATGGAGAAGCGAGTGTCTTCTGCAGGGCTGTGGGAGAGAAGGGAAGACTCTTTTCAGTAGCATTGGGAGCTGGATTAGGTCAACCCCAAGAACTTTTGATGAACTTTCTGGTAAATGGCATTTAAAGTTACCATGCAGCCCTTGCAGAGTGCTCATCTGTTGCCATGTCTGATCTGGACACTGGGTTCCCTTTGCTGCTCAGCTCGGTGAGTTAGGTTGGACAGGTAACACAGGGACATTTTGGCTGGGATGCCTGCATGTTTTGTAAGAAGCGTTCTTTCCCTCTGCAGCCTATACTCATGGCACTTGTGGCTTAGTCTTGGCAGCTCTCAAAGGCTAAAGCAGAAGCCTGAATGGATTAGACTGAATAGTCTCTGACACCAGCAGTGAGCAGGCAGAGTGGGCTGGGCAGGGAACCAGACTGTTGCTTCTCTGGAGAAGTCTCCTGAAATAACCATAATTACATGTGTCTGCAGTGCCAGCTCTCTACCCACTGAAGGCTCATGAGGAAGGTCCACCTGGTTTAGCTCCAGCCATGAGTCACCAAGCTTGTGCAAAGCTGGGAACAGCCTCAAGAAAGTGTGAACTGGGGCTGTATTGTATTTAGATATACATGGATGTATTTTGCCCTGGGCTTGCCTGCCTCAACCCATAAAAAGTACCCTGTGTCCCTCATGCAGCCTGGTGGGATGACTAATGCATTGGCTATTGGGAATTCTGCTGTAAGAGAACTCTCAGGAGCCTGGACGTGCTGGGCTCATAGCAGCACTAAATGGATGTATGAGGAAATTAAACTCCATTTACTCCTTTGTGAAGTCCCTACTGGACTCTGGCATCTGGTTGCAGCTGCAAAACTGTTAAGATCATGGCTGCGAAAGGGGACGTGATTTCAGGGATTAGGATGCGCAGGACATGGAGGACAAGAGCATCAGTCACAGAAGACAAAAATTAGAAATGCCTACTACCACCACTGTGTGTTCACTGCTGGCTCAGAGGTTACAGAGCCCCCAAAGCAACAACCAGCATGAAAGCCACAGTTATCTAGCATTCACTCACCATCTCCTTTGCTTTTCAGCTCCTTGACAATGACAAGGAAGATCTTCACCAACACCAGGGAGCGATGGAGGCAACAAAATGTCAACAGTGCCTTTGCGAAGCTGAGAAAGCTCATTCCCACCCACCCACCAGACAAAAAACTGAGCAAGAATGAGACACTCCGGTTAGCTATGAGATACATCAACTTCCTTGTCAAGGTCCTGGGAGAGCCAGGCCTGCAGCAGACGGCAGTGGCAGCACGGGGCAGCATCCTGGGCTTCTTCCAGCAAGCTCCACGCTTGCAAAGCATGGAGGAGCTGACTCTGATTGAAAACTGTGGTGTCTCCTCTCCTGGTGTGAGCAGCGCTATAGTAGAGCATTGGTCAGAGTCATCCTCTCCCTAGCAGACAATGACACATGCAGCCTTGGTGTTAGTCTGACAGTCCCTCTCATTTTGCAGAATCTGTGAGTTGCTCCTCTATGTATTGTGATTATTTATTTATATTTACTACTGTTTTATTTGGTATACACTTTTATTTAATAGGAAACAAAATCCTTAGCCACACAACAATCTGGAAGATCAGGCACAGAATTTGCAGCCACTGGGAACTTGGAAGGACTCACTGCTGTCGCAGCAGAGTCCAACCCAGGAGGGCCTTCTGCCCTGATCTCTTTCATAA